CAAGAACATTGTAAACTCCCAGAGAGCACTAACAGAGACATGTATAAGCACCTGATACAGGGTTTGGTGCTTTATAGAAAACACTTTTTTCTGTAATTCTTTGTAACTCCAAAGTCAGTATTATCACTGTCTGCTCTGGACTCATGAGGAGAAAGCCTGACCTTTAGCAGCCTATGAGCTCACAAGAAAAACAAGAGGCATGCCGGGGTTGAACCTCGGGCTCCACAAGCTCTGCCCAACTCACTGTCTCACTGCCCTACTGCCTCCCTCAGAAGGGATCGGCACCTGGGATCCTTGCCTGCAGCTGGTACCCACCTGGCACTCAGAGAAGCGGCTGCAAGGACACTCCTGGGGCCACAGAGCCCGGAACTGCCACAGCCTCTGGGTTAACATCTCCTGAAATATGGGCTGCGTGGATTCAGCCATATCCAAAATTCAGCAGGCAAAACAAAGAATCATTTTCCTTTCATGGGTATCTAAAGTAAGGAGGAAAATAAGCCTGCTGAAAAGTGAGCTTCCAGAGCCAGAAAGAGAAGGGATTCTCCTCTGTCCACACTCAGATCCTGAGAAAGCCTGGGGAACTGCTGTGCCTGTGGAGGAAGGAGACAAAAGACGCAGGAACAACAGGTACACGGACGGAGCAGACTTAAAAGCCAGGAAGAACCAGCAGGGAACCTGTGGCCTGGGAACACGAAGGAGCAGGGCGCGGCACAGCGGCAAGTTGCCAGCCAGCCATTCACAGCCCCAACTCTGCTTCTCCCAGCCCGGCTGCACACGAGCCAATGTAGATTCTTTTCATACAAGTTTTTGCCTCACTGCAGTGTTTATTTAAGGATAAGATGACCCCAACTTCCACTATATTTAGTACATGAAAATGCACAGGTGCTTGACTCCAGGATCTGCTTCAGGTTCTGCTATTGGTTTTCTGAGTACCCTCCCTTCTTGGTTTCATTGTACCAGAGCCACAGGTGAGGCGGCTTCCTGACTTCTGCAAAAGCCCTCCTCCACCTCTGCTCCAGCCCGCAGGTAGTTTAAAATGGCCCTATATTATATGGCTTCTTGTTTAAGGGATGGGGGAGAAGCTGTTTAAATTTCAAATCTAATTGAAAACTTCATGCCAAACACAATAGGCACCTAATTTTAACTTGGCTTATTTTTTTTTTTTTGTAACTAATCAGTTTACTCAGTTGCTTTGGCATCCTCCTCACTGCTCTTCAAAGGCTCCTATTGGAAGGCAGGCTATTTGCTTCTGTGTGCCTCTTCCACGTGCCACCCTGTAAAATACAAGATGAAGACAAACAATATAGTGTTGAGTGGCTAAAAGCATAAGTCCAGAGTCAGACACCCCAGAGCCATGTGGTGGCCCTGCCAGACATCTAATATGTTTGTTTCCTTGTTTCTAAACAACTGTCCCTCTCAGGGCTGTTGGGGGATTAAATGTCGTGGCTTAGCACAAGACTTGGCTCTTGGGGGGGGGGTGCCCCGAACTTGTCAGCACCCACAGCAGAGCCCCCCAAAATGATTCACAAAGGGAGGGTTGTTGGAGAAAAGCTGCTGGCTTGTCCAAAGAATTCCTGCCTAAGTGGAAACGGATCTATTACCAGGCAACTCAACACCTCCTTGGCCCTTGAGAAGGGCTGGCATAAAAATTTTTACTTGCAAGGCATATAGGGTTCACAGAGTGCCTTCAGGGTTGTAAGGGCGAGGAGAACTGGCTGTGCAGTCAGATCTTCATGCACAAGACCAGCCTCTTAGGAGATGTGGAACTGTGGATAACTGAGAAGCATTCTAAGCTCTGGCTCCTTGTCTGTCCGGTGGGAATGTGGCTGCCTAGCTCAGGTTTCTGAGCTCCACAAGCTAACATGCATGCAATGTGTACTTGGTGATCATGAAGTCATCAAATACAGGGAATTCCATTACTCACAGCTTTAGTTTGTAACAAACTCCTTGAGCAAAGCCTCATGCACTATCCATGTGGAAGGGATGCATTAAAATTGTCTAGAATATTCTAGCCAAAGTTATTGTTATGCTGCTGGTCTCCATGTCTCTCTCTCTTGCACACACTAGGCCTGGGATACCTTCTTCCCAGATTTTCTTCTTTCCAGAAAAAAAATGCAGGTGACCCATGCTTCTCATGCCTTTCCTCTAATGAAAGCAGCCTAGGGGCTGATCTGCTTTGGGGAAAATGCCCTGGAGTTGAGGTGAGCTATCTGTGATCCAGTCACTGCCACAACAGGCAGACTGGATTGCTCTGAGCTGGGGCAGGGCTGGCATGAAACCAAGCGTCCCAACACAGTCCAGCTTTTCTGGGGTTTTGGCAGCACTCACAGAAATCTGTATAAGAGAAGGATGCCAATCAAGGGGCTGAGAGGCATGCAGCTCATCTGCTAGGGCAGCACATTCTCCTAGATAGCATTTGTTGCCAGAATAACACAGCCCTGTGGTATAGGAGAAAGCATGGGGCCAGGAAGCAAGGAACCAGCACTGTGGCCCAGCTCTGCTGCTGTCACCTGGGGTAGGAAGCCATTCAATCTCACCAATCCCTTCTTCAGGTTTTAGGCAGGGGGTTGGGTGAGTGGGAGTAGACCTCTTACCAGGGTGCCATGACTTCTTTCTATAGCCCAACCTTGGTGTGACCCTTCACTTACCTCTGCCTCTACCTGCCATAAGGTGTGTTTGGAGGTAAAGTCACTCCCCAGGTAAGTCTGTAGAGTAGGGCCAGCATACAGAAATATTGGGCTTTGTTTCTCATGAAGGTAATCTGGTAAACCCTCTTGGGTCCTATTAATGCTCTCAGCACTTTCCAACAGGTAGTCATTCAAAACCTCAGCCAAACACACCCAAATGACTCCTTGGACAGTGAAGGAGAAAAATAAAATCCCCACTCATTTAGAAGTGCACTTCTGGGATCCTAAAGAAACTGAGTGGCAACGAGAGCCTCAGTGAACACTTGGAGGTGACATGGGAGAAGGTACACTAAGTCACCAGAATGTATGCTGGGAGGATTGGGTGGGTGGGGAGTCGACAAGAATATGGCCAAGCTTGAAGCCTTCAGCCCTCAGTAATGACAGTGTTCGGGAGGTCAAATGCTTGCGATCAACAGCGTTACAGTGCTCTAGGACGTGACTGCTCATTCCAGGGAACTGAGCACCACCACTTCCCACACAAGCTGTTCTGCATGTAAATATTGGTCTGGATAATGCCTGAGACTGATTTCTGGCACCAGAATGAAGCATTACAACATTTCCAGGTAAATATCCAGGATTCAGCCTCCTCCTTGCTGGTGGCCAGAGTCCAAGTCCTCCAGGGACAAAAACACCGAGTTCAACATCTAAAGCACTGAATCTATGCCAGTTGTGTGGGCGGCAGGCAGAGGGGACTGGAACACACAGGTGCTCACTATGTAGGAGTAGAACTGATGCAACTTGGTAAAGGACACTAATAGAAACAGGAGTACGGGGAGGCTGCAGGGACAGGGCCTGGGAAGCCAAAGGTGGCGGGCAAGGGGTGACACCGAGTTTTTAGAAACTTGCTGTGCCAGGTGGTGGGTGCCTGGGAGACACTGTGTTCTGAAGCTATAAGCAGGCCAGGGTAGTCAAGTAGGAAACAGAATGGTAAGGTCGCCTGGGGCTATGAAGGACTACAGAGCACACTCAGTCTGATACCTGCTCTTGCACAGCATGGTCTGAAGCAAATTTTAATGTATGGGGACAGGCATGCCATACTGGTTTTAGGAAGATCTCTTGGAACAATCAAAAAACAAGGGACAAGTAACAAGACTCGTGAAGCGGTCCAAGCAAGAATTGAAGGCAACCAAGAGGGCAAAGGAAAGGCCCATTCAGAAGGTTTTACACAGTACAAGTGTGGCAGGCTCACAGGCGAACATCAGAGGGGAAAACTGTTCTTCAATTGCTCCAGTGTTTGTGACCACAGGGGGAGCAAAAAGAAAGTCACTCTGACCATCATGAGCAGTTCTATATCCAGACAGAGTCTGACCAGGGTGAGCAGATAGCAAAACAGACCTGGTCAACTGTAAGGCTCATGGGGATGCTGGGAGCTTCCGGTCAGGGTTCCAAGGGGAAAGGGTTACCGAGTTACCACACAAAGTGATCTGGATAGACTCTACCCGTTTTGGACTCCAGAGAATGTGCATCCTCAGACCAAAAGGCTTAGAAGACACAGTGGCAGTTCAGTCAAAAGCCAAAGGATGAAGGGTTTTACAGGAAAAGACACAAATTTCTTGGTGAAGACCACAGGACTTAGGAAATTCATCCCAGAAGGGAGATCCTAGAAGGTGCGAGAATGGGCAGGTTATAGGGGGATTGCTGGAAATTGGATGTAAGAAATCAAAAAGTGGTTCACCACACACAGTCTATAGCAGTGATGGTGAACCTTTCAGAGTTTTCAATGATAGCAAACAGCCCGCTATGGCATGCGTGGCATAGGTTCACCACCACTGATCTACAGGATCTCTTCATACCCTTCGAACATCTATCAGCTTCTCAGGCATTCTTGTTCACACCTACATTTCTTAAAAGTTGTGAAGAAACTGTGGTGGTAGCTACCCACAGTAAGGCTGGGGATATTTTGGTTTTCTTATTGAAACAGATTTGGTGTCAAGAATCGGATCACACTAGGAGCCTGTGAAGATCTGTTTCAAGACTTCACCTATGGTATGGATTAGCCAACAGTTTGAGGTCCACAACAAAGCTGAGTTTAAGTTAGCCAGGCACTTAGAGAAGGGATTAATGGGCTCCAGTGTACCCCACCATCACTACCCAGAGCACTGCCTTTAAGAACAGCATCCAAGGGCCAGGGATTTAGCTCAGTGGTTCTGTCACCTGCCTCACAAGGTTCCGAGTTGGATCCCTGGTACCAAAAAAAAAAAGAACAGCGCCCAAGGTTGAAGTGGTGATAACTGCTCATCTCCATGGGTCTCCTGAAACCTAAAATAAGTTTACCACTGAGGGGAAACAAAGCAATAAGCATAACTGACAAGGTTTTTTTTTACATTTTTAAATATACCTTTATTTCACACTCAAAGCTTTATTTCACCAAGTTCTAACACATCTGCATTGACGGTGATCTCATCTGCTTAAGTAAGAAGGTGAGTGACTATTACCAATGAGGAAACCCACACGCCCTGGCACTGCTAAAAAAAAAATACTTCAAAGATAAGCAAATATAGAACAAAAGACTTTCAAATTTAATGAGTTTCTTACTATTTTCTATATCAATTTGAATACGAGTAGCTGCTTTAGGAAAATAAAATTTCCAGCCTTAAAAAGAAAAGGATCAGTTAGCTTGAGTTTTTAAAAATGATCCATGTTAACTACTTCCTCTTCGGTGGATGTCATCTCACCTTCCTATGCAAGCACACATGAGAATTTTCACCAACTCCCAGGCAGAATTCAAGCATTGTCTTTAGCTTACACTTAAACTACTTTTTAAGAAGTGATCGGTAAACACAATGTAGGCACTTTTTAACTCACAAAACAGGCCTTTTCTTTCCTTTGAGATCTCCACAAATAATCCGTAAAGTTGCCAAGTCTTTTTAAATACCTCTCCTCAAACCTTCTCTGTTGGTCCTCTGAGTTTAACTGGTTGAACTGAAGTATGTTCTAAGTCATCTGCCAATGTCTGGTGTCTGCCAGATTTAGGATATGAATCTTAACTTTGGAAACTGGAAGTTCTTTTGATGTACAGAACCCACCCAAAGGGACTTCCCTAGAACAGAGTCTCATCCAGACACCAAAAGGTAATGGCCCTGGTGAACATCAGGATTTCTCCACAGCTGGTTCACTGTAAATCCACTCTCTGGAAGAGGATGTTAGAGCTCAGGCTGTAACAGCATCCTATGACAAGGCACCAGAACCAGGCACACTTCACTAGGAAGGAGTTATTCCGAAGGTTTGGAAGTTGTTTTTGAGTGGCACTATTTCCCAAAGCTAAGCAATACTAGTTAAAAACCTAACCTACCATGAAAGTGCTATAGGTGGAGCCGAAGGACAAGCACATTCAGGGCTTTAGCAACGTGATTATTAATGCATCACCACCCAACACAGGTTCACACATAGCTTGCTGTGACTCAAATCTTCGGTATAAATCAAACTGGAGGAAAAACAAAATCAAAAACAAAAACTTGAGTGCCAAACTACATGGATCCCATCTACCAGGAACCAAGCATTGAGTTCCCTCCTCAACCTGCCCCATCTGCCAGGTCCCCCAGGTATGAGCCAGGCAACATCCCACATGCAGTCATCAGAAACTCTGACTTAAAGGTGTTGGGGACAGAGTTTCATTTTGGCATGGAAAGTGAGTGAAGAATAGTGTGTCTTATTGCTAATGGAAGACTGAGCATGAAGTTGGGTGTGGTGGCACACGCCTGTAATCCCAGCACTTGGAAGGCTGAGGCAGGAGGACTGCCATGAGTTCGAGGCCAGCCTGGGCTACACGACAAGACCCTGTCTCAAAAAACCAAAAAAAAAAAAAAAAAACCAAAACAGAACAAAAGACTGAGCATGATACTAAAGTTCAAGGCCAGGAAACTAGTGTGTGTTTTTCTACCAACAAGAAAGCAAAAGGTACCCTTTTCACCCTACTTCTGCTCAATCTGACTTCAAGAAACAGGCTGGGTGAAAAACCATCAGAAAATAGTTCAAAGTCCTGAAGTAAATGAGACTGCTTAAATTTAGATTAGAACCTGTACTTGAACTTTAGTGCCCTCTGCCCCTGCCAAGTTTCATGTTACTCAGCACACACAAAAATAAGGAACCACTGGACTCAATACAAGTTCGGGGTATCTGGTGCTCGTGCAAGCAGTATGAAAGGTAGGCTTCAGATAGAATTTCAAGACATCCGAAATTCAAGGTTACCTGGCCTGTTCTGAGGCTGGGAAAAGGCTCATTGAGCAGGTACAGACACCACTAGTCCAGGGGCTGTGTTTCAAAAGCGCAGCTTGGGCCAGTGCAGCTTTTTACCCTGATGCTTCCAGAACACACAGCTATTTGCAAAGTACAAAAACAGCTGGGGCGACAAAAAAGATTGGGTGAAAAGACTAGCAAGACAGCCATCGTACAATGGTACTAAAGAACGAGGGAGCAGGGGATTGCTTGTAATGTCCATGCCCGCCTTCATCCTCATCAAAGAAGGACTCTTTCCAGGTTGGAAAAAATATATAAGGAGAAAGAACTCCAAGAACAAAATGGAAATTTAATTACTTGATTCAGATACTATCTTGTTCCCATGTCTCAGTTGTCCCCAATCCTTCTAAGTAGAACCAATACTGATTTCTGTTACTAAGTGCTTATGTTGGCTGTGGCTTTATCACATTTCAAAAGCTTTGGTTAAACAAATCTGTAATTTGGAGGCAAATATGTTGTCATTTAACCACAATGGCAGCATTTTAAGGTCATGGGCGACCAAATAATTTTGAAGGTTGGGATCACTTTTCATTCCCCCCACAACACTGAAACACCCCAGATCCCCTCCTAGAATTGGACTTGACTCAAAGCCAGTGAGTTCAAATATAACTAAGGCTCACACAGAAACAGGAGCTGGTTACACAAAGAAGAGGCTTCCAGTTGCCTAACACAGCACAATACTAGAGCCAGCTAAACCTTGGGTTTCAAACACATCTTACTTAAGAGGACCAAGACATCACATTCCAGAAGAAACCTGAAAATACATCTTTACAAAAAGGTCAACCACACATTTTCTACTAGGCATTTCTGTATGAAGATAATGTCAATGCTTAAAGTGAGGAGAAAGCATTCACTCAGGGCTTTGGATTTTTATGACCACAGTAGAAAATAAGAGCATAGATTGGATTAAATCACTTTAGAAACCAAACTGGCTGGCAATACTGTTTTTCCCCCAATACCCTAAAGTAATGCTTTCTAAAAGTAGCCTACAAAAAGTTTCAAAACAAAATCCCTTATCTAAATCTACTGGGAAAAGCAACAGTCGCCTAGAACTCTCCCATTGACTAAGTTTGCTTTAGACTAGAGATTAACACTGTTTTCCTTCTAAAGTGCAGAATATAAACAAATATGGTCAAATCTACCAAATAAGGAAGATCACTCTTCATTCACGCAATTCTTTCCCAAATACACTGGAAAGATCTCAAAGCACCTGGGTGGCTACAATGCACACAAGGCCAGACTGAATGCTAAACCCCTACCTTCATAGGGCACAGGGACAGGAGGTTAAATTCTAAACCAATTCCATAGGTCACTCAGTTCTACTGAAATTCCTGAATCCACAGGCTGTCATAAATACCTGGAGAAAGAAATCACTATTTTAAAAAGCAAAAAGAAAGCAAACCAAAGAAATGGCCAAAGTACTCCAGAACGACAGCTTGTCATATATGGAATGTGACCAGAATGGGTTTCCAATTAAAACACGGGAAGACCCTCATGCCAGTTACAACAATGAATACAGACACAATCTTAGGAGGCACAACACAAAAGTCCATGAGGGAGCTAAAGAGGGGAAAAGATGACATTCAAAAAGAATTCCTTAAGTAATAATAAGAAAAAAAAAGAACATTCATGTTTCCTATTTACAATCACTTCTCCCACCACCGCCTCCACCACCATTCTACATTAACATTATGTGCCACATTTTATTTCGTTTTCAAGTTACATTTCAAAAAAAAGATCATTTTTTTTTTCTTAGCAACATCTCATAATTTCTCAAGATAGCACAGCAACTAAACCATAAACCACTTCCAACCAGATCTCCAGTCTCCAGCTATTGGCTTTGGTTTATTTACCATAGAAATTCTCAGCTCTGCTGACAGGGATTGGACACAAGCAAGTTAGTCCTGTGAACAAAAATTAAGTCACAAGAGCACCCTCATGTTTGTCATTTTCTGCCTGACTAAAACTGACACAAGACGAGAGACCATCAGCACAAGTGCTAAGAACCAGAACATGAGCCCCTTCTCTACTAGGCTCAGTGAGAGAAAAAGAGGCTTTTCACACTTCTTGTCTGGGGCCCAAGTTCTCCCAATCTCAATTATTCCACAGAGCTCAAATCCCAGGGCACTAGTGTTTGGGATATGATATGTTAATGTCTATCTTGGAAGGACGTGGATAGGTCACACTTCCTGCAGCATTTTCTGAAGTGGCCCTGTAAGATGGGTCCGTCCTTTTAGGGTTGGCTCATGGTATACTGCAGACCCATTTCAAGGGGTACACAAAGAAAAAAAAAAAAATCAGAGTCAGAGCTGAGTTCCCCTTTAAAAGCCAAACACCTATATCTAGGAGGAGGCTCCCCTACCTGAGAGCCCATACCCTACTGGGTTCCCACTGTGGAAACACTCAGGTCTTAAGGTTAGTTACAGGGCAGCCAGGTAGGGTACGGCTGGCTGTAGGTAACTGGAGGGTGGGCGACGTAGTAGTTGTTGAAGTTGCCGTCGCTGACATAAGGAGCAGGCTGATAGTAACAGGTGACGTTGGTGGCGTTCGGGATGATGTTCTGCTCTGCCAGCACACGCAAGGCCAGGAGGGAGATGAGGTTCAGGGTCTGCCTGCGTTCATGCCCCATGAGGCACACGGTGCTCTCGTTCACGACCCGTCGCAGGATCATGAGGTAGTCGTACTTGCTTCTCTCTTCTTCGGCAAAGTGGTTTTGAAGGTAGGTCTCCAACTTCCTTTGCTGGTCGAGGATGTCTGGGAAGTCGATGAAAAATCGGGAGCACATATACCGCTCCAGAGTCTTGATCTCCTCCTGGTCTGTGGGCCTGAAATCTCGCACAAGAAGGTTACTGTACTTAAGGAGGCCCCCACCTCGGATTTCTTCGGGGTTCTTGGTGGCAATCAGTCTGTTCTGCAGATGATCAAAGGCTTCCTCAAAGTCTCCATAGACGCTCTCCCCAATCACTGTGGGGTGGAAGTCCTCAGAGATAGGGTTACTGGAGCAGTCGTAGAAAAAAAGCAGAGAGTCCAGGATGATTTGGAAAGAGTCCACGCTAAACTCAAACTGACGTCGAATGGAGTCGACAAACTTGAGTTCCACGTTCCTCCCGTTTTTGTTGGAGAGGGAAATCAGGCTCCAGCGGTCTGTGTCCGTGCAGACCTTCACCAGCTTCTGCACGTACGCCTCCTTCAGAGTGACCGGGCTGATTTTGAGCTTGTTCACACCCTCTGGCAGGAAGTTCAGAAGGGAACACAGAACCACGTCCCTTACCAGCTGAAATTCTGCCTCGGTGGGAAGAGCCACGTGAAAGATCAGGTCCAGGTCTTTGCAACCCAAGCCATTGTCTTTGACCAGCACGTGGCCAGCGGCAGAGCCGTTCAGCCGAACATCCTGCACTTTGATGGCTGCCTCCTCCAGCCGGCCACGGACAGTCTGCACGATGTCCTTCAGAGTGATCTCCAAGGTTGGGAAGTTGCCTCGTCCATGAATGGGTACAACCTCGGTAAGGACCTCATGTAGCCGGCTAACCTGATCCCAGTTGAGCACGCTGAAGGACACACAGTCCTGGGTACTGCTGCTGCTCTCCGCTGCCATTGTGGGGATGCTCTGGCCAGGGAAACTGCAAGAGAGGGGTAAGAAACAGTTAGGATTCACTTCAGCACCTCGAAGTAGCTTACGGAGCTCAGAGGAGATGCTTACTCATCCCTGAACATTTTCCTGTGACATGGCCATCAGGATCACCTGCAGCTTGGTGTTCCCGTGAAGATTAAATAAGTTAAAAGTGTAAATATACAGAGTAAGGGCAAATGGTCAAACTTCATTCTATATCAATCTGCATAATGTCATAACTTTGTTTTGTGTGGGTTTTGGTTCTATTATTGTTTTTCTTTTTTGGCTGTGGGAAATGAGGGGGCAGGCTGGTTTCTGTGAAGGAATACAGACAAGTAATCTAGACACACTATTAATCAATACAGCCTGTTAAAAAAAAAAGAAGAGAAAAAAATAGAAATAAAGAGCTTGAATGTTTTGCTCATTTGCCCTGTTTGCTTTGGATGTTACCGATTACCTCCTCTGCTTTTGGCTCCCTAACTACATCTTGAACTAGCTGATACCTAGACTACACCCACACAAAACACAGACACACAACACACAAACTCTCTCTCTCTCTCTCCTCTCTCCATCTCTCTGTCTCTGTCTCTCTCCCTTCACCTAAAAATAGACAAATTCTCAACTCTGTGCTACAACCTCACCAAGATTTGGGAGGCTGATCATTTCTGCCAAAACAAAGCATGCTGTACAGTCCCCTAGCGAGACTCCCAGGTTCCCTTCACCTATAGGAGCACATGTGTCTTATAACAAATATTCTGTCATTCAGGGTAGAAACAAGGAGCCATATGTTGGCCAAAGTTTCTAGTCAACCAAAGGTTAGCTCAGTTGTGGAGTGGAGCCATCCCTCTAAGAAGGATCCCTACACAGAGCCTGGCAACTTCCTTGGAATGGTGTAATGTTTCAACTGTATTTTGAAAAAGAGCTCTATGAAGGCACCTGAAGAAAATAAAGTTAGCAATGAATAGTAGAAGAAAAGCACCACTTCTCACGCTTTACCAGCCAGAACCACAAAGTGTCCAGAGTAATTTTCAACTATGTTGTATTTTTCAAAAAATGAAATACAACAAATCTCTCCAAATCCTATTATATAAAACCCTACTATATAAAAACAAATGCTGGCATATTAGAAAGCCAAAGCACCTGTGGACCCATGGGGGTCGAATGTTGGCTAGATGGATAAAGCTGAAAAGGACAGGTCACAGCGCTGGCCTCAGATTTCACTGTGACCAGCTTCCCCACCCCTGTGCTTTCTGACTTGCTACACACAGACAAAATCTACCCTGATGCAGTTTCATTGTTTAGAAGCTGTTGCTTTTGAATGCACATCAGCATGCACTCTCCTGGAGTTCCAACATGGATTTCTGGCCTTGGCCCAGGGCCAGTGCCAGGGATTCCCATGGAATCAGGACACTGTTGGGCACACAGAAATGAGCTTTCCAGTAGCTCCCCTTCATGAAGGTGGGTAAGAACACAAGATGTCAATCCAGGCTGTGTGGTACGTACAGCTGTACAACTGGGAAGTAAATGTAACATGAGCAGAAGAGAAGACCCTGATTTGGGTAAACCAGAAGGCCACAGAAGAGTTCACTTAGGGTACAAAAGTCAACAGAAAAGCCATGTGAGTTTTTGGCTGGGGCTGAGGAAAATAAAGCAGCATGCAGCTGGAAGTGGCCCCCAAGCCAGATCATGGGAGCTGTAACTTAGGATCTAAGTTAAGGGGCTAAGAAGCTGCTCAGCTGGTAATGGGATTGTTGATGCCATGATCAAAGCAGGTTCTAGGAAGATCCATTAGAGATTAATGTTCCTCTACTTGCTACCAAAAAAGAAAAGAAAAGAAAAAGCTTGTCAAGGAAAAGATAAAAGTTGACCCTCTAGCCTTTGTGGACAGTGTTAAAAGTCCTATGCTATTAAGATCAGCCTCCAAGACACTCCTAAGTTACAGATACCAAGCAAAGTCTATGAAGAAATACTTCATGTCTGTCATGGCTACCCTTTGGTTTCAAGCCAGATTTGAGACACTAGTGTTCTCTTTTTTCTATACTCTCTAGACCCTCAGTAGTTCTGTGTAGCTCCTCTTATAAAGAGCATATGGTACATTTGTGCCTTATGTGATTCAGTGTTTACAGAAAGGTATGGCTCTAGCCTTGAGACACAGCTAGACTATGTGGGACTCGGTGACATGGATTCCTGTGAAGTATGTTGGTCAACCGACAGAACTACAACTGCTTTAGTCTGATTGCCTATCATGTTTTCAAGGTAACAAGAATAAGAAGTCACACAGAGACTGAAGTCACTTTGGTATTAGTGCATGGGATACAAGTAACAATTTCAAGAAAACCTCCAAGAAGAATTTCAGTAGTGTGGCAGAGGAAAATAACTGTAGGATGACTTTTGACACATGCCTTTTAAAAAAGGCCATGTAGGATTAAAGTCAGGCCTACTGCTAAGACAAGGGGCCTTCCTTGAAGACCAGAAAGAATCCAGAGGCTATGATTCTCTTTGGGGATTAAAAGTACATGTGTGAGAATTTTCATATATCTTAAAGTCTGTGAACTTGCAGTAGTTTCAAAATTAGAATCTGTTTCAGCTGGAGAATACATAAGGTTCATATGGGAAAAACAGGCAGGAATAGCAAAAACAAGCTATGAAAAAATAGGGATTATGTACACTAACCTATAAGAGATATCACAAAGAACATGTTATCGGCACAAAAAACCCACAAATTATTGAAAAGAAATTTTAGAAATAAAATCAAGTGCAAAAGGAGAATTATAATATAATGAAGGAAGTATTTCAAAAGGGTAAAGAAAATACAGACATCTGGATGGTTAATCTAGATTTTTAAAAGAAAAAAAAATAAAGGTGGCTTCCTATCTCATGACAAACTAAAATCAAGGTGGTTGGATCAAAGTCTTAAATATAAAAGGATGAAACTCTGAAAGTACTAGAAAGAAACAGACTTTATATACACACACACACACACACACATACTCACACAGTGAACAGCCCTTTTTAAATCACATAAAACCTAAAAGCCACAAAAACTGGTAGTTGACTATAGAAAAGTGACTAGATGGTAAAAAAAACAAAAAAATACCGTAGAGAAGTTAGAAGACAAAAGTAGGAAAATATTTGTAACATTAGGTACTCATTTCCTTAATAAATGAGCTCCTATGAATAAACACCAAAACCCAACAGATAAGGGGCAAAGAACATGAACAGCAGCACAGATATGTAACATATTCAACCCTACATATTGCAGGGAGGCAAATTAAAAACTCAGTGCCTCATTTTCACCAACAGTATTGGCAAAGATGGGTAAGTCGGATGTATACCCTGCCCATGGGCTCTCTCTGAAGAACAGTGCGAGACTCCTAAACTTTAAATGGACATGCTCTTTGATATAGCAATTCTATCTCAAGGTTTATCTTCTGGGTATACTTGCAAGTAAATCGAGATATTCATTGAAGAAATACTTGTAAAGCTGGAAGTACTCAAGAGAAGATGGCTAAATGATACATGTCTCCAACAGTATACAAATATGTACAGTTGTTCGAAAGAACAGTGGCTTCTCTATCTGCATGAATGTGACATACTCATCAAGACTTATGAATAGAAAAGCAAGTACAAAACTGTGTATGTAAATGTCTATCCTTATAAAAGCATGTGAATTCTCTGGAAAGATACACTATAAGTTCTTCGGCCTATATCAAATACTAACTCCAGTTTGAGGGACAGGAGAAAAAAAAAAACATGCTGTAATCTTAGAATTTGGCATCTACGCAAGCATTAGTTGATGAAAAATTAAAATCTCATGATCTAAATTGTAAAATCTTTCCCTTACGAGCCTTCTTTTCATCTGCTACCTTGTTTAATTTCTTCAGTTCCCTTCCCAACTTCCATTCTCATATCTATGTGCCAAAAATTAAATACACTTGGAGGCTTTCCTTCCACGCCTTAACTATTGATCTCTACAGGGTGGGAGGGAAGGAGACTATTTTCCTTCTAGAGCACCTTTTGGTCAATTTTCTACTTATATACTTTAAAAAGATACCCCTTATTTATCTTTTTTAAAAACCAAAACTCTCAAAATAATGGTTAAACCTCATGTAGCCCCACTCTATGTTTGTTGCCAATGTTTTTTGTATTTTACAGCCCTACTATTTCTCACTTCAAACATATTACAGCCACCCTCATGATAGTTTTATGTTATTATTGACAACAGTTGCAAGAACTTTAGTAAATACAATATTCACCTTTTTTAGGAATCCAAGACACCCATGGATGGCATCTTCCATGCCAACTTCTCATGTATATGTATAAAGGGCTTAACTTTGGGGGAGAAAAGTAGTCTATATAAAAGCACAGCATGAAACATGGACAAATGCAAGTTCACGGTATAATTTTTAATTCTCCCCATTTACCATAATTTACACGTGGAAAAGATGAATCAATTGAAGGGACAAATTTAGGCTAATTTTGTATTAATTCTTAGCTCATTAGAAAAGCCTCAAATAAGTCATTTGTACCTATTTAAAATGTCTTCATTTGTCCCTCATCTAAACTATTTTGAATCCTAAAAGTACGTTTTCAAGTTATGTAGATAAACATAATATTATGAGAAATAAATCCAAGATGTAGACCTTAGTGTTCAGAAAATACACCAGAGAAGCTTAGTTTGATAGTTTTAGTGTTAATTAACTGCTTTAAATCGACACTGATATAATCCCTATATAAAAGAATTACGTAAAGCACACATTCCCAACTCATGAAAGGCCCCTGGTAAAGGTAAATCCTAGTTAACACAACTAACAAAATAGTGACTGGAAAACAAACTAACCTGAAGTCCAGTAATCTCAAACTAGTATTTGAGAGGCAGAGTCATGACAGTTTTACACAGTAGAAGTTGGCAAGATGGGCAACACATCTATCATTGCTTTACTGTTTCCGACTGGTCGTGACAGAGCTTAATGAGATCTAAAATCTTGTTTTGTGCCTTAACAGGAAAAAAGAAAAGGTTATTTCTAGTCCTGCAGCTTATCTTCTGTAGACCCCTGGGCAGCAAATTAACTCCAGCAGCAATGTTTCCAGAGGCAATGAAAGCACAGGGGACTCAGGTAAGCATGAGGGACAGGCAGATGCAGGAGTCGGAGATAAGAGTACTGAGGGCGTGATGGCAACTGCATGCAGGTCTAAGGGCCAATAGGCATTGATTCCCTTTTTTGTGCTGGGCATGGAAGCTCTCCAAGAGTTCTAGTGTGAAGTGACCCATGCTAAGGAATGTGGAAACCTGTATTCTTCATGAGGTTAAGGATGGTATTTTATACATATAAGACCTGTGATACTTAACAGAAGAGCTGTAGAATGTTTCAGGAAAAGTGGGGCTTGAATAGAAACTCTGTTATTCAATTCCTCCATCCAATCCAGAGGCAACTGAGCAACACTTTCTTCTTCTGATCCTACTACAAGTTTACAAAACAAATTCAAACACATTCCAGCCTTCCTCTGGCGACATAATTCCTTTTTACTGTTTCTTGATGATACTTCAAAAATGTGTGTCTCCCTAGTAAGACTTTTCCAGCTCAGGGTATAATCCATCTATAGGCAATGGGCCACAGCTGGACACAGATTCTGGTGCAGCTAAGGGATGTGTGCAAGTGAGACACAGGTACCTGTTGGTCCTGGCTCCTGCCCAAGAGGAGACCCCTGTGCCTGTGTTCCTACATACCTTCCACACAATTCACAATTCTCCCCCATTCACAAGAGAAAACACATGAGGTAAAAAGAGACTATGTCATTGCATAGAAAAACTCAGAGAATTTAAGCAGCAGTACAAGTGATAGGAATACACTTCACCATATCCTACAGCCTCTTTCCTTAGTGAGTGGAATGAGTGAGAACCACAGCTCCTGGCCAGTTTCTTATTCACCTGTAAAACGAGAAGTGAAGGGGTATGTGTATAAAAGCAAAGGAAACAGTCCTTAGCATGGGCCACACTTCACATCAGCTCTTATTTAACACTCACTTAAAGTTGAGAAAAAATAAAGTGAACTGACCCCAAGTCCTCAACTCTTAGAACTGGTGACCGCGTCCACCAAGCCAAGGTGCTATGGTGCATGGGGTATGAGAAGCTAGTGAACACAGGTCACAGACCCACATGTGCACTGGAAAACTAGTTCTTGCTGCTATTAAAGTGATCTTTCATCATTGAAACAAAGATTTGACTAACCAAAACATGGTGCCTACCCATACTGGCAGCACCTTCCCTTTCCACTGCCTTCTGCCATGGTGGTTTAGAGGTACCACTCAGAGACACCCTAGGGAAGACAATTTCTTGGCCACAGAGTGTAGAAAATCTCACTCATCAAAGGGACTGTCCATCAGTTGTTTCATAACATAAACATTTTCCAGTCCTCCCCACATACTTCCAGCAGGTTTGATTCCTCTACTTCTTGGTCAGGCCCTGATAAAGGAATCTTCAAGGTGCTTTGCATAGCAGTAGCCATAGCCATGGCCAGAGGACACTAAATGTGACTGAATGTTTAGCCTGTTTGATAATATCCCAAACAGGCAGCAAGACAGTGCTGTCAGGGCTCTATATGGATCAGGATTTTGATTCCTCCAAAATCCCTAAAAAGGAGCAGCCATTCTTACCCCTTTACAGATGAGGAAACTGTGAAAAAAAAAAAAAAGGATATGCAAATTGTAAACTGTCTAAGACACACTTCTGGTAAGTGCCAGAAATGCTATGTGAGAGGCTTCCTGGGAAAGAGGTAGCAGTAGTAGAAAGAAAAGGAAGGAAAGTATTAAGATTTTTAAGTAAGATGATAGGAAAGAAGTTTGACTATATGGGCTGAAGCTACCTAAGCAAGGTAAGGCCAGATGGCAGGTGCTGAAGGCAGGGCAGAAGTGTTTGGAACAGTTTCTAACAGCTGTCAGAATAGAAACTTGCTCCCACACAGTCATTATGGATTCTGGAGCAGCCAGAATGGAAACTAATATAGACACTGTCTTAGTTACTTTCCTCATTGCTGGGACAAAGTACCTGACAACCACAAGTTAAAGGAGGAAGGGTTTATTTTTGCTCACAGTTTATAGAAGTTTCAGTCCACAGTTGGCTGGCTCCAAGGCAGGGAAGCATGTCAGGGGGACATCACAGAGGAGAAACAGTCCATGGCAGGGCAGGCAGGAGGCAGCAAGCAGCAGCAACAGCCTGTCTTTCATCTTCCCTTTATATTCCATCCAGGATATAAGCCTATTGGTTGGTGCCACCCATACCCAGGGAGGGCTCCCCATTATCCATACCCAGAAATATGCTAAACCAATTTAGTTATCACCCACTCTTAATCCATATTCACTTACTTAAGATCCAGCCACCTCCAAAAAGCCCCATCTAAGAGTGCATGAGACTTTGCAGGGACATCCAGATACAAGCCTTAACAGACATGCTAATATTTAATGGTGATGTTTTAGAAGAACAATGGCTACAGTAAAGGCCTAGGATCCTGACTTCCGAGGGAGCTCTGGGGCCTTGGTAGACTGCAGGGCAGGAGTGATGGTAGAGGAAGCAAGTACAGGACAAAGTTACCTTGGAGTAGAAGGAGCTATGTCAGGTATCATGTCTGACAACTAGTGAGAAAAAATAACGACACAACAGGGAGATTTTTAGAAATGGGGTGAATGAGGGAATGACTACTGGGATTCACTCTGGAGGCTGAGACATCAGGAGTGCTGAGCTCTTGGTATAGCAACAGAAAGGGACACTCCCAACAGCCAGGAGAGCGACCTTGTCATAACAAAGAACCCTGTGTGTGGCTCTAGGGCTACAGAAAGGAGGTAATTTTTTTTTTTTCTTTGTGGTACTAGAGATTATACTCAGGGCCATCACACTGAGCTACACCTGCAGCCTTTTTTTAAAAAAAAATTTTTTTTTCTTTTAATCTTGAGTCACAGTCTTGCCAAGTTCCTAAATTGTCAGGCTAGGCTTGAACTTGCAATCCTCCTGCCTCAGCCTCGAAGGGTGCTGGGATCACAGGTGTGCCCCATCATGCCCAGCTTGGAGATTAATTTTTATTTAATTACCATGACCCCAGGAGATAGTCCAGAAAGGAGAGCAGGAGAAAACTGAAAACAGTAATAGCCTAGAATGGACAAACCCATAAATGCCAAACTGGAGACTGAATGGACACATCCCTTTCCCAACCTGCACTCAGTTAGATCCTTAAGGTTCTTTCACCTGAGAGCAGAGCCAAGCACTGAATGACTGTGGACAGCAATCACACTGCTTCATATAAACAGGCAGAAAGGAGAAAAACCAGGGTCAATGTGGATCTGACCTTCTAAAGAGAAATCCTCCCCTAATCCTTGAATGATTAGGCCTGAGGGCCAGAGGTTATCTATGGTCAGGGGCAACCTGAGGAAGCCCTTGTCCCTCACCACAGCCTGGCCCCACCATGGGGCGGGGGTCACATTCTGAATGCTCCCTCACAGCTCCCAAACACATTTAAAAATTACTGAGAACACAGGCACTCACATATAATTTTGTTTTTGCAATACTGGAGGCTGAATCCGGGGCCTTCTGTACTAGCTTACATTTCCCAGCCCTTTTAAAATTTTGAGGTAGGGTCTTGCTAAATTGCCCCAGGTGGGCTAGAACTTTCAGTCCTCGTGCCTCAGCCTCCCAGAGTGCTTGGATTACAGGCCTGCATCACCATCCCCAGATACGTGTGTTTTATAGGCATGGAATAAGAGTTTAGATGAGTAGATGGTCCAAAGCAACAGAACCAGACAAAATAATGCTTAATTTAGTTGTTTTTTGTGGTGCTGGGGATCAAATCCAGGGTCTCATGAATGCTAGCCAAGCACTGAACTACACACCAAACCCAGCTTTTTCTAAAAGACGATAAAATATATTTTACATTAACTTTTTCCAAAGAAATTATTTTTGCAATTGTTTTACCAAATACCCATGACCCATTTCACTTCAGCTCAAAGAAATGACTGCTCTGTGCCACAAATTAGGCCCAGGGAAAACATTATGTCAGGGACACGCTGAACCCTGCAGGTGGCCTTTTCTCACTTTCAGCTTGATCACATTCAGCCAAGACCTCAGTCTCTTTTCTCAGGGTTATCAGCAGCCTTCCAACCACTTCACACTAATGTTCACTAGTCAAAAAAATTGGTTTGATTCTCACAGGGAGTTCTAGACTGAAATCAATGTGGGGGAGCAAAACCAGGTGCTGCCTGGCCATGCACCTGGCTGCTGGAATCCAGGGGACCTTCACAAAGCCTCACTTTTCAGTTCTCACTGACGCCAATACACAGCCTGAATGGTTATCAGTGACTGGGCTCTATCCAGACACCACCCAAAGACGACTCCAAACAGGAAGTGTGCTCCCACCTTTCAAAATAGGATGCCTACCCGAGTGTGGGTGGAGAGATAACACTGGAGGAACCAGTGCTGAGGCTGCAAAAGAGCACAAAGCAGAATCAAAACACTGCCATTCAACAAGCGTGCCTCTGATGTGCCAACACTGAAAAGAATATCCCGAAGTCGCTGCAAATGTAAATATTGATAAAGTCAGAGCACAGACATCTCTCGATGGAAGCTAAGCAGAAAAGTCTGTTATTTTTCCCCCCAAGGTGTCAGCCTTATGCAAATTTGACTGGAAATAATCCTTGTTGCTATTCAGTATTTCCCACCCCCAACATCTCAAAAGAAGCCAAGAGATTTTACTAGTCTGAACTCCTATAAGGGCTGCCCAAACACAGCTGGTCTTTTTGCTTTGGAGATGGACTAGACTGAGAAATACAGGACATTCCTAGAGAGAAGAGTGTTTACTAACTATACGGATGCCTAAGTCACCATCCAGGTTTAGGAGCAGACAACCTGCAGGTTTTATCAAAGGTTATTTCCACACCATAATTTACCCTCTCTACCCTCTCGAGTAACACTCCAGCTTAAAACTTGAACAGCTGTCAGCTGCCCCAAACAAA